CCCCCCCCCCCCCCCCGGTTGAGGAACCATGGAATTCTCCAGGGGTAAGTTATAAAAATTGAGGATTTCTTTAGGGGTAGAGTAAAAAAATATGGAATTCTTTTGGGGGTGAAGCCTTAATTTTCACAAAATTCTTCAGGGATCGACCCATATTCTTCAGGGGTATGACCCAATTCTTCAGGGGTAAACCCATATTTTATGGAAGTCTTCAGGGGTGAATGCAATTTTAGCCAATCTTAGGGGGTAAGAAGAAAAGGTAAGTCCTCAACCCCGGGGTTCGGATTTTAAATGCAATAGCCCATTAGCAATCGAGGATACTGAACCAGGCAATAAATAAGTCTTAATGGTAATAGGACTGAGAAAAGCCCATCAACCTGTGAATGAATAAACTAAAAAGAACCAATATACTGAATTGCTTCACAATAAATCATGTTTTCACAATACCTTTGTACTGTACAATATTTGCACCCAATTTTACTGGATATCATTATATCTTCCTTTAAAATTTTTTAGCTCCAATAGTCGTTTAAAAAAGTAACCATTAAATCACTTGCTTCCATAGACAAGCAATGAAACAAGAGCAAAGACAAAGGATGCAAGAGTTAGACATCTTTAGGTAAATACAGACAAATTGATTGCATTAATGAGAAATGTGCAAAAGAGGTGAAAAGTTATATTTAAGTTGCACTAATACACCTATTAGAGGTGACAGTCTACTAAATTGTACATACTTTGTACACTTTTTATACTTAATTAACAACATTTACAAGAAATACTCGAACACAACATGTAAGAATGTTTGTAATAACAACTGCAAAAAATTCAGGAAAAAAAGAGATTTCAAATGTACAGATATAAAAAATAATTTTACTCTAAAAAAATTAAAATAAATTTCTATAGTCCAACTAATCTTACTATCATGATGGGAGACAAGGCTCTGTAGAAAAATTGTAGGGAGCCCGTGAAATACAGGGGACCCAGCATATGATCTTTATGCAAAAGCAAAAGAGATTTCCAAGTAGCTTTTTTTAAAGCAACATTATAGGGGCTTTGGGGGGCTAAGGTTGTACAGCCTTGCATGGGACCAATGAGCGATATTAACAATATTATCATTACTTTCAAACTAATTAATAAATAATTTATTATAATACTAATATCATAGGTGACGAATTACTCCTTAATTTTGGCGCAAAATTTTAGCATTAATTTGTAATTTCACATGTGAAATTACAAAATTGCCATGGCAACCCTTCCATACGTCTCAGTGTCAAGATGGTGACGAAGTTTTAAAATGACGTGAATAAAGATGTCACGGCACAAAAAGACGCTTTAGAAAACCTGAACACACAAGAGAACATCAAGAAGGATTCTAACAGGTATTTTGCCAAAAAAGTCTAAAAAATTCTGAACTTCATAAGCCAAATTTAAGGTCTAGACATTTGAGTGAGTGCAGTTCTCGATCGATACGATCCAGGATAAACATGTCAAAAATCCAAGATTGTTAACGTAATTCGTCACCCATGATATTAATAGGTAATCAAATGGTATACTCGTGAAATTAGGGAATAATTTCACTTGCGGTTTGTCCAAATCCTAATAATTTCCCGAGCCTTTATTTGGACAAAACGCGCGTGAAATTATTCCCTAATTTCACTCGTCACCATTTGATTACACATACTAATTATGTTTACTTGGGATCACTGGTCAATAACCTATTATTATTTTATTGTAAAGGAGATAAGTCATGAAATCTATTAAAATTCAAACAGTGGGGAGCTCCCACCAAATAATTAATTGACTGAGACATTAAAATAACAGGTCAAAACTTTAAGAGAACAGTTTTTAAAAAGGTAATCGGGCCATTTATACGAGAAAAAATAAGACGCGAACTGTACCATTTATACGAGCATGTCTTATCTAATAAGACGCGTCTTAGCTAAGCCGCGTCTTATTTTAGACGAAATGTGCCGTTTATATGGAAAGTTCGCGTCTTATTTAAGACGCGTCTTATGTAAGACGCGTCTTATTTTTCCTCGTGTAAATGGCCCTAAGGTCTTCCGAGGTATTGCCATTTCCCCGCTTTACCCGAACAACCGAAATTTCCTCACCATTCGGTTGGATTACCAGTGTCAGGCTTCCTCTTGAGAGAAAGCGAAAAATTTAAACTGAATCCCATTCCTATTTTCGGTGCAAAAAAATACCAGTTCCATTTGTAGGAAAACTAATTCACCGAAATTTCCCTACATGTGGTAAGCGCTCCAGGACTCTTTTCGAGAAAGATTGAATAAGACACTAGAAATTAACAATGGTACATTTTTATTTTTCCTTCTTGTTTTTTTGTGTGTGCTGGGCGGTTTTTTCTCTTCTAACTAAGCTGGCCAGGTCTTTACTAGCAACAAATAAAGCTGTATTATGGGCCTAAACAAAAAACAACGGCAAAAAATCCAGAGGAAAAAAACAGATTTTGTTCCAAACGCAAAATGTACCAGATGTTCCATGCAAAGATTTTTTTACACAGAACCAGTGTAGAAAATCTGTTTGTATGGCCTCTTAGAAAATTCTAGATGTAAACGTCTGTTATTCTCTCTTGGTTTCATAAAAACACTAGCGATGATTATTTACAAAATAACCGGAGAAACGTAGCTCTTGCTGAATTACATTTCTCGACTTAAAAAGTGAATAATCACGCCTTTGTTAAGATGAGAAACTATAGTTTTGAAAACGCTGAATTCTGTGTCTGATGTCCAACATTGTCGTCCCCAAGCCCACTCAGCTTAATTTGTAACGGACCACGTGACCAAAAGAAACGACAGGCTCTGAGGACGAGAATGGATGTCCAAAAAATGCACCCCTACAACGAGATAATCAACGCACAAGTCTCAGTAATCTGTATCCGTGGTGATCGTGTTTATATACTCCTTGTCTTCGCATGGTTTTATTTGGCAAGCCGCTGAGCACTAGAGCGTCTTCTCTCCTCCCGGCAAAGTTCTCTAACCTGGGTGGCTTCGGATTGCACTCCAACTATTTCATCTGCAGAAAAAAAGAGGTCGAGTTCTTTTAAATGTAGTTTTATGAGATGCATTAGCAAAGGCTAAAGACTATAGGCCAGCAGGAGCTGTAAATTCATTATAGCTCGCAGTAAAGGCGGTACGTAACACGGTGTACTGTTACCCTCTGACGTCACAGGTTTGTGTTGCACGCTCAGAGATTTTGGCAGGAAACAGTTTCATTGTTGGATGCCATGAGACCTCGAAGTAACTAATGAGAGAGAGCGCTGTTGGGAACAAATTTCCAGCTTATACTACTACATGGAAAATTACTGCAATTTGATTGGCTTAGAGCAGTAGTATTTCAGCTTAATTTGAAATACCTACATGTAAAAATTACAAACCTTTTGCGGGTAGTAGTATAAACAAATAATACCATGATTTGTAGTGATATTTGGCATAAATACCACGAGTGATATTTCAAAATTGTCTCAAATTTCACTCGCCTAACGGCTAGTGAAATTACGTATAACAATTTCGAAATATCACTCGTGGTATTTATGCCAAATATCACTACAAATCATGCTATTACCTATACAAACAACGATATAATATATTGACCACTGACTTTGCATGGTACTTACCTAAAGTCGCGTTGGGCCTACTAACAAGTGTACACGTGACATAATACGCAAACAACGTGATCAGGTAGCAAAATGCATCGCGGTATTTTCTTCGAGTCAATGGATAGAGCCATGGGTTGAAAACTGTGTGAAGTGACGCCAGGCGAACTGCAGTAAAGTCGAAGAATTCATCGAACGGGTAGCCAATTTGAATAAGCGTCACTCTTAGCTAAAAGATAGAAACTGGTTTGATTATTGACGTGTCTGTCAAGAAAGCAAGTTGCTCAAAGTCTCTTTATTAAAACGAGGCCTGGAGCACAACAATCCACACGACAACGTGGCCATTTACCTTAAGCCTCTGTTTCAGAAGCGAGGCTAAGAGAGAAGTCATTAATATAAAAACGATTCCTAGTACTAATGTAAATTCATTTTTATAAGAAAGGATTGCACTTTGCCTCGTTTTGGCACACGGTAATTATGACCTCATGGTGTGAATGAAAAGTTATTTTCATATGAAAGCATCCAGTCTCACTCTGAAAAAAGAGGCAAAATAAAAGCTAATACGAAAATAATGACCTATTTTGGCCCTTCAATTTTTTGGCTTGATTACCAGCCAACTTCGTCGCCCAGCTTTAGTTACACGTCGAGAAACAAAAATCGGGAAACTGGGGCGGAAATGCGTCAGCTAACTTGAGATTAAGGCGCTATTTGAAAGTCTTATTAGAATAGGACGCAATGCAAAATAAGAGGGTTGCACAACGAAGCAATATTCACTAAGCTGACCAAACGGAAAGCGTGTAACTGAATGATAAATACTGTACTCTGATTGTTTTACATAAATTTAATTTGAAACAACGCAGGTAATAAAAACCTCCCTCCTCCGCAGAGGTTTAGTGGCGCGTTATTGCGGAAGAGTTATAAAACAACAACATCATCAAAGCTTAACTCACCAGAAACAATCCCCAGCAACCAACGAATGATATAGCAACAGCTCCGCTTAACTTAGCAAACTGAAGCTCCATCTTTCTTGAGCTGCGGTTCTGTTGTATATGTGTCACATTCGATGACTCCTCGTCTACCCGAGACGCAGCATTGCTTGGCCCTCTTTGAAAAAGTTTCAGCGCCATTATAACTGTAGCTAAGTTACAAAATACTATAAAGAGCATCGCCGCAGCTAGCGACGACATGTAGATATATACCAGTGTTTGTCCTTCAAAGGAAACAGCGCCCCATTCAAACAGACAAAATGTCCCCGGAAAATGTAATACGTTACGGCTTACTCCGAAAGCTGGNCTTAGCTAAAAGATAGAAACTGGTTTGATTATTGACGTGTCTGTCAAGAAAGCAAGTTGCTCAAAGTCTCTTTATTAAAACGAGGCCTGGAGCACAACAATCCACACGACAACGTGGCCATTTACCTTAAGCCTCTGTTTCAGAAGCGAGGCTAAGAGAGAAGTCATTAATATAAAAACGATTCCTAGTACTAATGTAAATTCATTTTTATAAGAAAGGATTGCACTTTGCCTCGTTTTGGCACACGGTAATTATGACCTCATGGTGTGAATGAAAAGTTATTTTCATATGAAAGCATCCAGTCTCACTCTGAAAAAAGAGGCAAAATAAAAGCTAATACGAAAATAATGACCTATTTTGGCCCTTCAATTTTTTGGCTTGATTACCAGCCAACTTCGTCGCCCAGCTTTAGTTACACGTCGAGAAACAAAAATCGGGAAACTGGGGCGGAAATGCGTCAGCTAACTTGAGATTAAGGCGCTATTTGAAAGTCTTATTAGAATAGGACGCAATGCAAAATAAGAGGGTTGCACAACGAAGCAATATTCACTAAGCTGACCAAACGGAAAGCGTGTAACTGAATGATAAATACTGTACTCTGATTGTTTTACATAAATTTAATTTGAAACAACGCAGGTAATAAAAACCTCCCTCCTCCGCAGAGGTTTAGTGGCGCGTTATTGCGGAAGAGTTATAAAACAACAACATCATCAAAGCTTAACTCACCAGAAACAATCCCCAGCAACCAACGAATGATATAGCAACAGCTCCGCTTAACTTAGCAAACTGAAGCTCCATCTTTCTTGAGCTGCGGTTCTGTTGTATATGTGTCACATTCGATGACTCCTCGTCTACCCGAGACGCAGCATTGCTTGGCCCTCTTTGAAAAAGTTTCAGCGCCATTATAACTGTAGCTAAGTTACAAAATACTATAAAGAGCATCGCCGCAGCTAGCGACGACATGTAGATATATACCAGTGTTTGTCCTTCAAAGGAAACAGCGCCCCATTCAAACAGACAAAATGTCCCCGGAAAATGTAATACGTTACGGCTTACTCCGAAAGCTGGAAGTAAGCTTATAGCCAGCAGAGAGCATCCGAAACCAATCGAAGCTACCTTGATTTTCTCCTTGTCGTAAATCATGTGCTTGTCGTAGTAAAATGGTTTATAGAGAGCTAGAAGCCTATCCGCGCTCATTAAAACAACTAGTAAAATAGATGACATGAAAAGAAATGTTATGGTTGTAGCGTGAAAATCACAGCCCATGTAGTCTCCTATGTAGATGCCGAAGAAATATTTTACAAGCGCCTGGGGGTATGCTAGAGGAAACACCAGTAAGTCTACCCATGCTAAAAATAGTATCAGTACATTGGGTATGTTTCGCTTGTGCCGAAGGATTCTGTATGTGACTATAAGTACGAGAATGTTACCAATAAATCCGATCAAGCCAGTCAAAAGAAGTGTTACACCGCCAGCGAGAAATTGTTCTTGGCTGAATTGTTCGAGTCCAAATTCACGTTTGTTCATATTAAATTAAAGAAGAGACCTGACGCCCAGTTACACTTGCAGGCTGTTGATTGCCTGTTGTCCCGAAAGTCCTTGAAGTTGAATTCTGGCCCACTTGATAGCTTCGTTCTTCTTGGTTGGAATTAGACGATTTAATTTTATGGTAGTGTTGTACGGCAATTAAGGCGCAAGATTTGACTGTTCCGATGGGGCTAGTGAACTTTGCGCCGGGCCGCTTCATGGAGGGAAGACCAGCCCCAAAATACTGCAAGGCTTTCTCTATAAATTCCGTAGAAATTCACGAACTGTGTCCAAATGAAGTGTTTCCTCAATCAGTATATGAAAAATACTTGCGGCGTTTGAAATCTCCAGCTGAAAAAATACAGTGAATTTGTGAAAATACTCGAGGAAGCTGGATAGACGCCCTACAATGTAGGTTGCTTGTAAGCTTTATTTTTGTGTTTTGAAAGCCCGAAAACAGTGATGACTCCATTTTGCGTCGCACGTTCATGTAAACATCCACTCTCTATGGGCTGACTTCCTAGCCAATCGGGTGCTATTTTCTAACGAAGAAAGGGGCGCGAAAATTCTAGGTCACCTGCTGCAACAGGTGGTGCGATTCACCTGTGTTGAGGTCTCGTCCCGTCACTGACCCGCGAGATACCCGCAACAGATTTTTTACAGAGATGGATTTTCACTGATTTAAGGAAAATACGCTGGTCGCATTTCAGTCTGTTAGTTGGCCATAGACAAGAGAAAATTAGATCATTCTCTCTTGCCATAGATCAACATGTAGAGAGTCCCTGAGTTTCATTTTTTTAAGAGAAAATATTCGTCCCTATGATCGGGTCATCCATTCCCGTCCGACTCCCGCCGCCAAATCCCTCTCGTAGGTTTTTTGAGTTAACGTTGTGGCTTCAGGCATCAAGGGATTCAAGGTAGAAGACTTTCTACTGTTGTACCAACCTCGGCTGGGAACATTTTGGGTTAAAAAAAATGGTAAAGAGCAAAATCCTATAATATATTGTATAACGGCCTGTATGCTAAGATGTTTCCGTTTATGATTTAAATCTTGCTGCATAGTTCAAAGAAAGTATAGTGGATTTAAAGTAATCTCGTTCCCAGATCTCACCCTGTCTTAAGCCGGATTTCCCTTGGCTGTGGGAGATCTGGGTGTTAAGAGATTGCGGATATATTTCTCCCAGTTTCTCCTTGATTAAGGAGGGTGGGGGGTAAGGCTAGACACGCGTGCAAAACGTCTGCGCATGCGCAAGGTCTCTATTTTCAATAATTAAAATTTGCAAAATCTTCCCCATTTAAATTGAAAAACACTTAGGAACGTTTGATATGTTTAATGGTTTGCAGCAGGTTCTAGTATTAAGCACGACAAAAAATTACTTAAACTAACTTAACTAACTGGTAAAGTCGTCCAGTACAAGGTTTTTCCGTCCTTGTTTTTCTACTTAGCATGCATTGGTCGTTTTCGTTGTTCGCATTGACCGAGCTCAGCGACATGATGACCAAAACAGCAACAATGGCTACGGCGAAGTGCTGCCAGAGCGAGCGTGGACTTTCAAACATGATTTTCGCCTTTGGTGCAAGGAGGAAAGCATGTGGTGCAAAAGAGAGTAACTAAAGCAATTAATAAACTTTGTGTTCGTGAAATTCTAAGCTTATCTTTTGTGTGTGGAGCTTACTTTTTTGAATTTCGCGGCCGGAATCTAGTTTGTTTTGGTATCGCGTATAATTTCGATTGGGGGAGGCACATGCAAATTCGCGCCGGAAGCAGGGAAGGCACGCATGCGCACTGCGTTTTTACGCGTGTTGTAAGGCTACACGTAGGCTGTCTCTGTCTGAGAGAATCCCCTCCCTATCCTAATTCAGACTTGATCTGATATCATTCATTGTACTTCAATACCCGAGATGTCAGAAGGTTTTTCGTTCTTCTTTCTCCTTAAGCATATGTCCCTGCTGATGGTCCCTTTCAAGGTTGATAAGTGCTATTTAATAAAGCTCAAGGGGGACCCCTAAGGTCTGATTCTAACCCTAACGTGGGTTTCAATCACTTTTCATTGTGATGGTCTATGGATGTTTTTCTCGTTGCCTTGTGGTTTGTTGTCGCCGCTTCACGTCTGAAGAATGTTTTAAAAGGAAGAAGAAAGCAATGCCCTGGAGGTAAGGTGTGTTTTCTGGTGATGTAAAGATCCTCGCTGTCCTACAATAAAGTGATCAAAATGTTTTTTTTTTCTCTTGGCTGACAAGAAAAAATTAGCAATCGCGGGAGGCTACTGAACCAGGCAATAAATAAGTCTTAATGGCAATAGGACAGAGTAAAGCCCATCAACCAGTGAGTGATTAAACTAAAAAGAACCAAAATATTGAATTGCTTCACAATAAATCATGTTTTCACAATACCTTTGTACTGTACAATATTTGCACGCAATTTTATTGGATATCATTATATCATCCTTTAAAATTTTTAGCTCCAATAGTCGTTTAAAAAAGTATTAACCATTAAATCACTTGCTTCCATTGACAAAAAATGAAACAAGAGCAAAGACAAAGGATGCAAGAGTAGACATATTTAGGTAAATACAGATAAATTGATTGCATTAATGAGAAATGTGCAAAAGAGGTGAAAAGTTATATTTAAGTTGCACTAATACACCTATTAGAGGTGAGAGTCGACTAAATTGTACATACTTTGTACACTTTATATACTTAATAATTAACAACATTTACAAGAAATACTCGAACACAACGTGTAAGAATGTTTGCAATAACAACGGCAAAAAATTCAGGAAAAAAGAGATTTCAAATGTACAGATATAAAAAGTAATTTTACTCTAAAAAAATTAAAATAAATTTCTATAGTCCAACAAATCTTACTATCATGATGGGAGCCAAGGCTCTGTGGAAAAATTGTAGGGAGCCTGTGAAATACAGGGCACCCAGCATATGATCTTTATGCAAAAGCAAAAGAGATTTCCAAGTAGCTTTTTTTAAAGCAACATTACAGGGGCTTGGGGGGCTAAGGTAGCACAGCTTTGCATGGGACCAATATGCGATATTGACAATATTATCATTACTTTCAAACTAATTAATAAATAATTTATTATAATACTAATTATGTTTACTTGGCATCACTGGTCAATAACTTATTATTATTTTATTGTAAAGGAGATAAGTCATGAAATCTATTAAAATTCAAACAGTGGGGAGCTCCCACCAAATAATTAATTGACTGAGACATTAAAATAACAGGTCAAAACTTTAAGAGAACAGTTTTTAACGCCCTACAATGTAGGTTGCTTGTAAGCTTTATTTTTGTGTTTTGAAAGCCCGAAAACAGTGATGACTCCATTTTGCGTCGCACGTTCATGTAAACATCCACTCTCTATGGGCTGACTTCCTAGCCAATCTGGTGCTATTTTCTAACGAAGAAAGGGGCGCGAAAATTCTAGGTCACCTGTTGCAACAGGTGGTGCGATTCACCTGTGTTGAGGTCTCGTCCCGTCACTGACCCGCGAGATACCCGCAACAGATTTTTTACAGAGATGGATTTTCACTGATTTAAAGAAAATACACTGGCCGCATTTCAGTCTGTTAGTTGGCCATAGACAAGAGAAAATGAGATCATTCTCTCTTGCCATAGATCAACATGTAGAGAGTCCCTGAGTTTCATTTTTTTAAGAGAAAATATTCGTCCCTATGATCGGGTCATCCAATCCCATCCGACTCCCGCCGCCGAATCCCTCTCGTAGGTTTTTTCAGTTAACGTTGTGGCTTCTGGCATCAAGGGATTCAAGGTAGAAGACTTTCTACAGTTGTACCACCCTCGGCTGGGAACATTTTGGGTTAAAAAAAATGGTAAAGAGCAAAATCCTATAATATATTGTATAACGGCCTGTATGCCAAGATGTTTCCGTTTATGATTTAAATCTTGCTGCATAGTTCAAAGAAAGTATAGTGCATTTAAAGTAATATCGTGCCCAGATCTCACCCTGTCTTAAGCCGGATTTCCCTTGGCTGTGGGAGATCTGGGTGTTAAGAGATTGCGGATATATTTCTCCCAGTTTCTCCTTGACTAATTGACTTTGTTAAATTTTCGCTCAATTCTGGAATTTTCGGCCACAAGGAATCTTTATATACTTGACTAGTTAACGAGTGACAGTACCCCCCCTCCACTGCCCGGAGAAAAAAAGGGTCCTTCACTTCCATTGTCTCCGGTGGGGGGGGGGGGGGGGGGGGGGGGGTAGGGGGCCACCTGGGGGCTCTGGGAGCAAACCCCCCCCCCCCCCACACAAACTTTCGTTTCACCTCCTTCTT